GATAAGCTCGTGGGCCTGGGCCATTTCTATCTAACAAAAAGGTAATAGAGCCAGTGTGGGTGAATCGTTGTTGCTCCCAGTCGTGCATCCATGTTCCCTCAGGATCATATCCGATCGAGACGCTGAATTGGTACGGTGGTCAAGCCATCAATGTTCTCACCTAATAAACATATTCACACACAACACACATAGCAATAAAAGGGTGAGACAATTTAATTCAATCTCCAGCAGCAAAAGACATATAAGGGTTTCAATCACGCAATTAATTATCAACACCCATAATCTACCAAGCAAATGCATATGCCATGAATAAGAAGTGATGCAAGTCCATTACTATAACTTAGTACTTTTTGACACATGCATGTGGGCCCAAAACCATCAATATGTTTCTTTTACTCAGGGAAGGATCAGGAGTTTCACTGTTACTTAACTGCCAACTTTGTTCATCTCATAATACAGTAACAGCTCTACTAATACATGAATCTCTCGGGACCAGTTAGGATAGTAAAGTTTTGCAGTGAGAGTCTACAGCATAAGATGGCGAGCCTTAGCCACTGTCAGGTTCAATCACACGTCACTATCCCCAAGACTACCCTGGAGCCCCTAGATTTCTTATACTTCCCTGTCCACTCATCACACTATCACATGTTCATGATCCATGTCTTCACTCCTAATTAATGTAATTAGAGAAAAACTTTAATTTTTCTTTTCTGTTAAGTACAATCCTTACTTTTTCTTTTCTCAATAAAATTCGACAGAGTCTCCTCTATAAATCAGATATTCCAAAATTTTCTTCTTCTTGTAAAACAACCAGAAAAGTCCAGAATACTTCAAATTCATTAAATTCCACCTCCATCACCTCAAAATCCATGGAAATCGTATCTTCCCCTCTTTCTTTAAATATGTTTTTATGCTTAAAAATTTAAAACTTAATCATTTTTAAAAATGATTCAAGCCTTCCAAATATCCAATATTACTTTCTCAGTAATATAATTTATTTATTTATTTTTATTAAATCTATTTTCAAAAGAAGTCAAAAGATACTTGTACTATATATAAAATACATAATTATATATATATATATATATATATATATATAACATATTTTCTTCTTTCCAACAAGTCTTAATGGACATTTAGATTATATCAATCTATATGCTCACACCACATGAAACTATATTACTTCCAATCTTTACTATTATATGGCATTCCTACCAACAAGAATATCTACACAAGCACATAATGAGAATTCAACCAATTATAAAGAAATATTTCAATACAGCACTTCAACCATAAATCATTCCAATACATTAATTTAAATACACAAAAGACCTTACATATAAGGGAGAGTCCTTGTTCAATCAATTTCCTGGTCTAAGGCAACCTTTCACACATGTCAAGTGCTATAACAAAATCTTCTAAAAATTATGGGATAGCTCTAAAACTACCCAAATTCATTTTATTTGATTAGAACAATAGAGAATCATTCCCTTATGGTTCTTAATGCCACCTATTGAAATAAAATTATCCCATCCCTTACCTTACGGATATTCTTTGATGAAGATATGGATGAATTTTTTTCTGATTCTTTAGAAAACTCGAACAATCCAATCTTCGAAACGATCAACCTAATCAATTAATCATGCCTAAACATAATTAATACTAAGGAGATGCTAATTTTATACTCTTATATGTATATGTAAAAATTGAAATTTTCTAACTTTTGCTATAAAAGTCCGATTAACACAAAATTAGTTTCTATGATCTAACTAATATAAAAGAATAAAATGGAATTGAAAAACACTCACTTCACCTTCTCTAAAACCACATGGCAGCCAACCCTTGTGAGGGTTTAGTGCTTTTTAATCACATTTTTGAAAAACTAATTATGTAAACAATATAAGCCATACATAGTCTACATATAGTACAAAAGAAAGTAAGTTTAAAAATCAATAATTTTGAAGTAAAGTAAGACCCATTTTTACTGTTCATGACAACCAAAAATAGAAAAATTTTAAAATTTTAATCGGATGAAATGATAATTAACAACTAATTAAGCTTAATTAAGGATATATATTAAAAACATACCTTAAAACAAGCTTAAATGAGTGGAAGAAAATGAAAATGGTGAAAGGGAGAAGAAGGGGTTATGGACTTGGAGAAGAAGAAGATTTACGTAAGAAAATGGTCAATTTAGTCAAATAGATAAAGAAATAATAATATAATAATCAATTATTTTACTATTTTAATGTAATTAAATAAAATAATTATGAATAAAACTCAAAAATAAAAATAATTTATGCCAAACAATTAAAATAATTATAACATAATTTTTGACATCAATATCTCTTTGGTTATCACTTAAAAAGAAAAAGAAAAGGAAAAAAATAATCACACAGTTCCTGTGAACACATAAAACAGTATTAACCAAAAATTTAAAAATAAGCAATAATTATCAAAATAATTATTTTTACACTCCAAATATTATTTCTAATTAAAATATAAATTTTTATTATTTAAAATAATTCTTCTAGATTAAAAATGCTATTTTTATCCTCATAGAGCAATTTTAACCGGTATAAACGAGTATTTTTTTTTATTATTTTTTTTTCAAAAATTGAAGAATTATAATCTAAATTATAACTATATTAACAAATTAACTGTTTAGGAAAAACGAGGATGTTACAGCTTAGATTGTCATTGTAAAACTGTTGTAATTGAATTAGTCGTGTAGCAGTGATTTGATGTAAAACTTGTAACCCTTCGCTTATTTCAAAATATTTTATGAAACTTTTATTATCCCGGATTTGTGAAATTATTATTTAGTTGAATTTAAATTTAAGGTGTTACATCTATCGTCATGGAAATATAATCTATTGCTCTCTAGGTTTGCCTCATTGAGAACCTAGTATTAGGAGAATGTGATTAGGCTAAGAAAGATGTTTGATTTTCACTTACAAAGAATTCGTAGCTTAGGTAAATTGTCTACTTACCGTACAATTTACAATGTCTACAAGTAAGTGATTTCATTAGTGTTATTCTTAATTCGTATATTGGTATATAATTAAATTCAACTCAATTTATTCCTACATGTAGTTGTAACTTGAATTTACATATAAAGGTGGCTTGAATAGTGGTGTATTAATGTTGTTCGTGGTTGGGTGACAATTTTGTGATACAAGTTTAGGGAGAGGTGTCTTGTAGTTTGAATTTATAGTTAATATGACAAAAATTAATGCAGAACTCCACGATGATGCTACCATTGCATTGTCTTTGACATAGTGAGCCTCCCTGCAAAACTCCACCATGAAGCCATGACCCATGCATTGCTACAAATTGCTAGCTTCCCAAAACTTCCACTAATGCCTTGTCTATAGAGATAGAAATAAGCTAGTCTACACTTTGCATAAGTAGGTATTAAAATTTTTAATAGGCTATTAAGTCTTTTTATAAATAAACTATCAAACTATATAAATAGGTATGTCTCTATAAAAGTCATAACACTTATATCTAAATACGTCATAAAATAAAATGGTTCAATACTTTAAATATTTGTAATAAAATTACATATTTCTATTTATCACTTTTAAACCATATATTGGATTTAAATAAGTAAATCACTAAACAACAAATACAAATACAGATCAGCATTATACATACTAGACAAATTAAGCAACAACAATGCTAAAGAGTAAGTAAGCGGCACTTTCTCTTTCAAATAGCATGTAATAAGAACACTCTTTATCTCGAACTAAAGAAAAGGATTAGAATTTCTAATTTAAGATCTTATTCATTTTAAATAATTTAATAATATATTATAATATTTATATAAAATTTATAAGTCTTAAATAAGCTATTTTATCAAGTCTAATAATTTTTTTTAAGCTCAAGTTTTGTATATTCAATTAATTAAATCCTTTAAAAAACTTAAATTAAGTTTATTTTTTCAATAGTTCAAGTTATATTAGGCTTTTAAAAAAGTTATATTATAAGTTTATGTGGATGACCTAACCTATTTACATCCCTACTTACATAGTTCAATCAATCAACACTAAAATCCTTCTGCTCAAAACTAATTAATACCAATAATTAAGGATGACAGTGAGTAAAGTACCCAATATTTATAGTTTGTAAGTATTTTAGTTTAAAAAGTTAATTTATATCTTATACATATATATATATGTATGTATATGTGAAATTTTGCTCATAATCTGTAAGTACTTTAGTTTAAAAAGTTAATTTATTAAGATATATTTAACACTTGTAATCTTTAAATATTTGTTTTCTATCTATGTTTGATATTTATTTGAAAGATACATATCAAACTTTTATATTATTATGATATTTATGTAAAATTATATAAGCATACTTTTTTATAAGCTTTTTTTTTTTCCTTAGACAAGCATGGATAATAGGGGCAGGTATGGATATACAGGTACATAGAGAGTATATGTATGAGAATTAAAATTATTACCTACGCAAGTATAAGGTTAAGCATGAGTATTTTTTTAAAATACAATTATAGGGATAGGTACTATAATGTCCTATCCATTGTTGTTCCTATCAATAATGGGATATAAGTCCTTGGTTTACGGATATCAAAATGCATGTTCCTTTCATTTTAGTTTTTTTTATAATAAGTTACATTATCAAAGGATATAACTTTCTAAAATAAATTATACTAAAAAACTTTTTTGTAATATTTAAAATTATAAATAATATATTTATTTAAGAAAAATAAACTTTATTTAATTCACTAGGACCTTGCTATCCTTTCAAATGCTAAGATACCACAGTAAACACATTGTTACTTTTAACAAAAAAAAAATATTACACAAAGATACAAACACACGGGAAAAGTACAAGACTGTAGCTGGGACGACGGGAGTAATTGTTGATGGAGGCTCATGAATGGGCTCAATAAAACTGATTACCGTGTTTTATAAAAAGACTTAAACAAACAAAAGTCTTCGTATATTGGTTTTGTGAATGGTGGTTGGTGTGACCCTTAGATCTGCGAATCTCGATAGCGTTGACGCATTCTTCCTCTCAGATCCGGCAGGCTTCAAACATTTTGATTCACTTTGACACTAGGATCAGGTGATAATCACTATGGAAGCTTCACCGAGCAATACCATAGCGCTGACCGGAATCGTTCTGGAACCGGTCTCAGGAGATAATTACCAAGACTGGAGCACCCTAGTGGAAAACTACCTAGCGGGTCAAGCTCTCTGGGACGACGTCGTTGCGGCTAGTTCTGAAGCAGCTCGTGACAATCCCGATTGGAAATCCAAAAACGCAAAGGCTTTGCACGTCATTCAACTCTCGTGCGGGTCTCGAACTCTTCCCTATATAAGAAAGTGCGAAACAGCGAAAGAGGCTTGGAAAATCTTAAAAGCCCTCTTTGGTTCGGAGGAATTAAGAGCCTCCGAGCACACTAAGGACATAGAGCTAGGACCGCCTACTTCCAGTGAAAAGAATATTCAAGATCTCCGCAATGCATTGAAGAATGGCCTGTGGAATGAGGCAAAATCAATTATCGACAGTGATAGAGATATTCTTTTCCATACATCTTCTGCCGGCAGAACCGTTCTTCACGATGCTGTGATTGCAGGGCATGAGGTAACTGTGCATGAACTAGTTAAACTTGGGAATCAACCGTTGCTCACAATGAAAGACGAGCGTGGATACACAGCACTAGCTCTCGTTGCTCAATTCAGTAAAAATGTTGAGATTGCAGAGTTGATGATTAGGAATAGAGGGACTGAGCTGTTAGCAGAGGAGAACTGCGAAGGTGAGATTCCGGTGCTTATTGCTTCGGCTGAACAACACGAAGAAATGACCCGCTGTCTTTTCCATCATACTCCTTGGTCTGTTTTGATAAACGAGAACAATCAATTCCGATATGCCTTCGTGTTTCTTGAACGGTGTATTTATGCTCAAATCTTCGGTAAGACTTCTTTTTCTAATACCTGTTTCTTTTCTTTTCTTCTGTTAATTTTTTTTTTTTTTTAAGTTTAGATATAGTTTGTAGAATCAAATCAAATATATTGAATTTTCATTTTGGGTCATGTAAAATTAATTATTTTAGTTTTTATATATTTTTAAAATTATTAGTTTTAGTCTACAGCAACTTTATCAAAATGTAATGTGTCATAAAAATTGACACGTAAAAATATATAAATTAGTTATCTTTATTTAATACTAATAAAAAAATTAAAATGTAATATATTTTAAAAGAATAAAAATATATTTTATATTTTATTTTATATATATACTTTTAAAAAATAAAACATTTTCTTCAAAATTATTTCAAAAATATTTTCACTTGAGCTTCTGTGTTGACAAATGGTAATAATGTTTTTAGCAAATGCTAATAATTTTTAAAGTAACTTATCACAGTTTATAATAAAAAAACTATTTCTAATTTCTTAACCAGTACACTTTTTTATAGCATGCTTGTATCTTTGTCCATAATCGGTATTTCTCAAATTGATTTTTTTTTCCTTGTTTCTCGTGATGTTTCTCTACAGTTCCTTATATTTAAAACATGATGACAAGCAGCTCTATCCTACAATCCAAACATAGCTTCCACTTCTCCTTTATCAAATATAAACGCGTTAACACCTTTGTGTTCCTCTTAAACTTTAATCGTGAGTTTATTTTTAGAAGGAAAGAGAAGAAATTTTATTTTTGTTTAAAATTTTAGATGAAAAATAGAGAATTTACAAATTTTCTAAATTTCATATTTTAAAGTTTTTTTAATTTAAAGGATTTTTTATTAATTTTTTTTTTTACTTCCTGTCTTTTTTTTTCTTTACCTTTTAACACTTTTCTTCTATTTTTTTCTTTAAATTCTTAAACAAATCTTAATATTTTATTTTTTGTATTATTTTTTGTCATAGAATTGAGCATAAAAGGCTATAATTATGGACTCTCATGTGAATTATACTAATATTGATGGTTCAATCACATCTTCCCTTGGATCTTCTCTTCTGTTTTCATGAACCCTTCGAGAATTTGTTTTTCTATTCCCCATATTCTTACTTGAACTCTTCGAGAACTTGCTTTTCCATTCTTGGTGACTTGAACATTGGATCAGCTTCAAAATGCGCCCTGTTCTACATTAATCAACTAACTACTATTTAGTTATTGGTCTCTGTTAATTCAAAGTTCGGTATCTCTGCATATTCTTTCTTGAACTCTTCAAGAACTTGCTTTTCCACTTCAAAATGCACCAGATGAAGCTCTGACACGAGTGATAGAAACGAGGTGTTTCTAACGGGCTTCAAAGACTCTTCTTCCCAAGTCTTGTTCTATGAGAGGAATTATTTTTTATTGAAGTGGAACCCTTGTAATGAATGCATCGTGCGTATTTAAAAAAGATAAAATATTCTGTAATTCCTTTTCTAATTTTACTAACTTATTATAACTAAAATATTGTAACAGTCACGTGGACGTAATTATGTTTGATGGACTTTGTCCCTTCTAAATTCAATTATTTACATTTTATTTACAGATATTGCGGTAATGTTGATCAAACGTCAAGAAGCTAAACACTTCGACCTTCATAAATCTTATTGTGCACTAGCTTCCATCCCTTCTGCCTTTCGCAGCGGAATCCATCTTAGTTGGACACAGCAGTTTATTTACAACAGTATGTTCACTTTCATCTTTCATCTTATTAGTTATCTCGGTGATACGTAACGTAAATATATACTTGCGACATAGCTAGAAATTTTATAATAAATAGTCATTTTAATTTTTTTATTTTTATTTTTAACTTTTTAAATATAATAATTTATTTTAAAAAAGTATATACCAAAAAAATAAAAAGTGATTGCAAAATTAGGAATAAAGAAAGTTTTTCTTTAAAATTTTATTTTGTGAGAATTCACAAGCATATGAAAAATGAATTATAAACAAGCTAGTCAAGTTTTATTACAAGAAAACCATCCTTTAGTCAGAAAATAATAATTATTTAATGACAGTTTTTAGTAATAAAATATTTTTTATTATTATAGTGACTAATTTAGAGACTGAATATATTATTAATTTAATTAATTATGTTGTGCCTTCTTAATTATAGACTAATTTTCTTAAAAAATTAGAGACTGATCTATTTGTTACTATTAGGGACCAATTTAATTTAAATCTAATTTTAATATTAATAAATCTAATTTTTATTTTATATTTCATGATTTATATTATTTAAAATAGTTATATAATATATTTTTATTAATTAAAAACATATCATTTATTTTTTTTCTTTCTCTTAAAGAGTCTTAATTTTTCTACTTTTATTTTATTAAGACATCGATCTTATTTTTTAATAAAAAAAACTTTAATCAGTAAAATATTTCACTTAATAAAACAATTTTTTTTAACTAATTAAAAAAAATTTCTTTAAAAGTTCATATTATTTTTTATAAAAATATTAATTAATTTATTATTATGCTTAATAAATTATTATAATAAAATCAATTATATAATATGTAGTATTTTAAAATAAGTAGATAACTAATTCAACAAGAATAATTAAATAAATATTTAATTAATATGTTATAATGCATCATTCAAATATTTTAATACAATTAATCAATAAACTATTAAAATGATTATTTTTTTATCTTTTTTTAAATTTGATAAATGATTTTTTATTTTGTAATTATTTTAATTTATCTTAATTTAGATTGATACGTGATTTCTCGCCAACAACTAATCAAGTCATAAGAGAAAATTTTGATTTGATTTTCTAAAGTTATAAGTGGTAACATGTTGGTCTCTCAAAAATTTTGGTTATTAAATAATATTTAAAAATTTAAACTATTATTATATTACTTATTTTAAAGATTTTATCACTAAATGTTTATGAAAGAAATGTTACTGGACACAACTGCCTAATTCATTTTAAATAATTTTAATGTGGATAGTGTAAAAATATTTATTAAATAATAAAATATTAATGATTAGGAGATGTATATGGGATACAATAAATGTTTTTCTAATATATTCTGGTTACAGATTTGTTGATGCAGAGAATCAAAGTCAACTTTGAAGACAAGAATATCGAAATCGAACCTCGTGGTGGGTCACAAGAAGAAACGAATGCATATGTTTTAATAGGTCTGTTTCCAATTTATCATTGTTTTATATTTTAATTAAAAATATTAATATTTTTTATCTTAATTATAATAAGTAAATGTTTATTTTTAAATGTATTAATTATTAATTTTTATATTTTTATTTATGATAAAATTTGTGTTAATAATATACTCATCCTTTGCCTGTACAAATAAATGCATTCATTCATTTAATCTATGAAATATTAATTAACGTTATGAGTATATTTTTAAAATTGAACATAAATTTATCACATATAATCATTTTTTACGAATTTTGATGAATTAACTAGTAAATTTTTACAAATATTATTAAATTAAAAATATTAAAACATATTATATAAGAATTTATAAATTTTAAATATAATAAATAAGTTATTATATTAAGTAAAATTAAATTAAGGAGATGAAATTTTAAAATTAAAAAAAATACAGAAAGATCAAAATGAGATTTCAAATTAAGATTAAATTTAATTTTTTTATGACTTTTATTAATATAATATGATAACTTTTAAAAATTAAATTCAAGTTAAGATTGATTAATATTATAAGAATTTTGAAATTCAATTCATTTGAAAAAGAAATATATATTTTTAGTTTGATATAATGTATCAAAATTTAAAATTTAGATCACATTAAATCTAATATTGAAAATACAGAAATCAAATTTAAAATGAATAAAAATTTAAAAACACTTAAAGGAATAAAAATTAAATAAATAATTAATTAAATCATTTATTAATTTTAGAAATAGAAATAATTATTATAGTTTTATATTTTTATATAGCAAATACTTACTTTTTAATAAAACAATGTCAGTTTTTATTGCTTAAAAAGATTTTTAAAGGTTGATACATATAGATTTTTGTTTAGTCTTGCTAGTCACTGTATATTAGTTCAGAAATTAATAAAAAGTAAGTTTTCATTGAAAACCATGTACGAATTTATTAGAAATCATGGAGTGAGTGTCTTTTTATGTTTTTTAATTAATTCTTTAACGAATAGAATGTTTATTAAGTTTTCTTTCTTAAAATCCATTTTTTATTCGTTGTTTCCATCTTTTGAGTGTTTTTGTTTTTTCAAACTAAGCAATTTCTAAAAACATCGAATGTTAAAAATATATTTTTATGTAAGTTTTTTAAAATCCCTAAACTATTGGTTAACAAATAAAAAAGTAATCATATTAAAAATGCATTAAAATTTATGGTGATACCAAATTAATAACATTTTTAACAAAGATGTTTTACGTTTGGTTCTTTAGTCAATACACCTAACATTATCCATTTTAGGTTTAGGATAATATCAACATCAAGTATAAAAGTTGATTTTAATCAATCATTTTAAAATGATAAATATCTATTAAAATTAAACATTACATAAAAATACAAAAATATTATTAATATATTTGTTTAAAAAAATAATTTTAAATTTTTAAAATAAATCTTAAGTTGATATTGATAAAATTGTTAAATTTATCCAAAATGTCTCACACCCTGTCATAAATGCTACTATGCTAATACTAATTGCTTTCATATTTTTGAGAAAAACTCTGCAGGTGCAACAAGAGATCATTCCTCTCTCCCAATGCGATGTTTCGGTGGAATTTTCCGACAAGTGCAACAGTTCATTAAACCTTCAATACTCCTAAAATTCTTTGGTAACTTCTATGATAAATGCTCCAAATGAGTTACTATATCATTATTTTGGAAATAACCGTTAAGATAAAATTTAAGTGTAAATTTTGAGTGCTGTTGTTTATTAATTAAAATGATTTTTTAATTTGTACAATATTACACGTAATAAAAGATTATATATAGCAATTTTTTATTAAATATTACATAAGTTAATATAAAACATTAATTTTGATTAGTAAATAGCATCAACAACATCTAAAGAATTGTACTTAAGTTTTATATTATTTGATTGAATTTTGAATTATCAAAATAAAATTCAAATAATACTCAAAAATACTTATGATACTAATTTTGTCCTTGTTTTTATTTCCTCCACATTGTCTTCTTGTACTTGATTAAGTCCTTCATTTTAAGGTATTTGGGAAACATACGAGATGAAAAAGAAGCATTCCTTAGTACTTGTGATTCTACATGACTTGTGCTTAAGAACAAAGTCATCCAAGCAATATGAGTGGGCAGCTGGAGAAGCAATGTTACTGGCAGCGAAGAACGGAATTATTGAGTTCATAGATTCAATGAGAAACGTAAATTCTGACCTTTTATTGATTATAGATGATAATGGAAGAGGTCTACTTGCGCATGCAATTTTGAACCGTAAAAAAAAAATGTTTGAATTCATGCTTGGAGTAAAAAATTATAAAGAAATTTTTGCATCTTATTATGATAAGTTTGGAAATAACATATTACACCTCACAGCAGAATTAGGGATTTCCTCTACTAGTGGAGGCAAATATAGCACAACTCTACATTTGCTAAGAGAACTTCAATGGTTCAAGGTACGTAATTAAGTTTAACCAATATGTAATTTATATTTTATAAAAGATATGATTAAATTTGTTAGAAATATAACTTGTAAAATTTTTTTCTAAAAAATAAATAAAAATATACTAACTTTTATAAGTGTGAACTCATACCTTTCTTGTAGTTGGAACATTTTAATAAACTTAAACGCTACTTGTTTTAATATTTCCAGTGGCGTAATATATATATAAACACGCTTCTTCTAAAAAATAAAAGTACCCATTTATATTTTAGAAATATTTTAATAATTATATGACTTTGAACTTGTTAAAATACACACCAAAGAGTAATTTGCTAAAATACTCATTTTTCTTAAAATAATAAAAATATATTAGGATTATGGGTACTAACACGCTCATATTTATTTTTTAATATGTTAGTAGGCTGAATTTAAATTTGATAATATAATTTATTTTTTTTTGCAAAATCAATAAAAATATATCAACAATCTCTACAAAATAAAACTGAAAATTAGGAGAGACTTTTTACATTAATTAAAACTAAAACAATTGATACTAATGAGTGATTTGTTAAAGTGGTATATACTTAATTATGCAAGATTTAAGGTATAATTTTTTTATTTGACTAATATATCTCTTCACTTACTAATGTTTTGGTAGTGATGTCACTTGTCAGTTATAATTCTCCCCTGTTATTATGAGTTGTCAAACGTACTACATGTATATTTTATCAGTCAAGTAAGAATATTATGGACTAAGAAACTTATTTAAGTGACTTTTAATCACTACCAAAAGGTTAGTAGAGAGAGAGATACATTAGTTAAATAATTCTTTTTAATTGATATCCAAAGTCACAATACAAAAATTATATAATAGTTTTTATAAGAAATCACAGGATATCATAAAATTCAATGCATAAATAACTTAAATGCTGTAATTTTTAATAAAAAAATAATTATTAATTTTTTTTTATCGTACAACGTTGGTCACGCATAAAAAAATTAAAAAGTTAATTAAAATGCTGTAATCTTTTGCATATTATACTTATACCAATAACGGGAATCACAATGTTTTATCCTTGCTTCAAGATTCTTAAATACAAAAGTATAATAAGTCTTGACTCAAATGCAAATATGAATGCGTCTAAACAGAAGAAAAAAATGAATGGGATTAATGATTTTTTTCATTGTATTGTATGCAGGCTGTAAAAAGTATTGTGCCTCGAGCGTGCTACGAAAGTAAAAATGAAATGGGTCTTACACCTTGTGTACTATTTACCATGAACCACGCAGAACTTGTGGAAGATAGTAAACAATGGTTAAAAGAGACATCAAATACTGGCACAACTTTTGGAACTGTTATCATTACTCTCATGTTTGCTGCAGCCATCACTGTCCCAGGGGGAAACGATCAAAACAAAGGCACGCCCATGTTTTTAGGCAAAGAAGCATTTACTTTATTTGCAGTAGCAGATGCAATATCTCTAATCACATCTTTATCATCAGTCTTGGCTTTTTTGGCAATCCTTACATCAAGTTTTGCTGAGGAAGATTTCATGAAAAGCTTGCCCCTTAAGTTATTTTTTGGCTTTGGATTCCTATTATTGTCTGTGCTATCCATGGTGTGTGCTTTTTATGCTGCCCTTATTTCGATGCTAAATGGTTACCGCTGGATTTTAGTAGCAGCCTTGTGCATCACAGTTATTCCAACCTCGTTATTTATCCCCTCTATATTGCGTCGGTCTACAAGAATTCTAAGGTTCGCAATTATATCTGGTTTTCACTCTATAAAGAATATAAAGAGTCACTGATTTTAAATTTGTAGTTGAGTTACATTTAATTTAATTATTGTGTGTTTCTCCCTCTCTATTATTTTATTTTTCTCTTTTCCTCATGAAATAATAATTGAGAACTTTAAATATTCTTGAGGTTTTGGATTGAGGTAATATTTAATTAGCTTGTGTGGTTTGTTGGTGATCTATTAAAAGAAATCTCTTTTATGATTAACTCTCCTTTTATATTTCTAATAAATGGAATATATGTGAGGGTGGTAAGACACATCCCTAGCAGTGTAGCGCAACTTCAAAAATTTTGTTATACCACAATACTCATGACTGAAAATTAATTAAAAGGATTTTCCTTTAGTAGAAGCGTACCATTTCAAAGGACTCATGTTTGAGAGAGAAAATTGTTGAACTAACAAATATGATTGAAGAAATCACACACTAAACAAAAATAGACAAGATGAGGAACATATAAGACTTATAACTGGGTGATTTTTACATATACTCTCCTTAATTATAAGTGCTTTTCAATAAACAGAGTAAAAATGTAAACTGCTTCCCATTGCCTCATCTTCTCTTATCCACAAAAGACAAGATGCCACCATATTATTCAGGTCCCACTAAAAACGAAACAATTGCATGATTCTCATTAATAAATTCTTCAAGGTTACCAGTGCTCGTAGGAGAACTCCCCGCCGTCGGGTTTTCAGTCACCCAAAAGACCTTGTCGGTTGAGATCACCCGGTATTCCCTCACCCATGCTTTCTCCGGGAATGAAGGAAGAGAGACTCACCAGGCACTGACATGCATAAACAAAATTCGCTTTCTTTCTGACGTTTCATCTTCTCTGACAGCTATATTGCCTCTCTCCGATGACATTTCATCTTCTCCGACGACATTCTTTTATGCGACTGCTTGTCTGGGCAGCTTATTTTGTCAACTGAGATCCACGTTAACATCGACAAAGATCTCTTGATTCTCAGGTTCACTACACAGCAGTGTGGAGGGCATCCATGAAGAGAAAAAGAAGAGTAAAAAAATTATAAAATTATCTTTCAATAGTTTTTTTTTTAATATTATTAATATTTTGATCAAACAATCCACAATATTTCGTAACTATTTAAAAGTTAAAATTCTCTTATTTATTAAATTTTATTAGAGGACGTCTCTCCTAACTTAATATTTTAAAGTTTTGAATATCATATAATTTTTGCTTTGTTTGTTTTAATAGAAAAGATGATGTAAGAATGCAAACTAATTTGAAAAGAAAGTTTTTGTGTATATGTGAAATGGATATATGAATTTATCTCTTTATAAATTTTTAACTTGCTCATGTCTCATTTTATATAAAATTCAATTTATACTTGATTTTGATATATTTAAATATTTTATTTTGAGTAAAAAAGTATTTTTTATGAGACTCACTAAAAAGTTTCTCATACAAAATGGTAAAATTTTGTGAAAAAAAAGTAGTGAGATTTTTTTATATTTTATTCAAAATACTTTTTAAATTTTTTGCTAAATAATTTTTTATTGATATTATAAAAAATATTTTTTTTCATATAAACTAATATTTTTTACTCACTTTTTCATTTATTCTTTTTTATTTTAATCCATTCAAACAAATTTTTTTCATCTCACTTCTCATATATTTCTTCCTAGTCATATTTTTTTCTATTTGTTTTTCTTTAACTCATTTTTTATTACATCCAAACGCAGCATTATTGTTTAAACCTCCTTTCATATTTCCTAACAATTATTCGAGGAGAAATAAAACATCAAAAAATTCAATTGCTGCACCATGATGTACTGGGACAATTTTGAATCTAAGCACAAAGGATGAAAAATAAAACCAAACAAATAAGATGGCCATAATAAACAAAAGTTCACTGCATAATAGCAGTTAGATAAGCTTAACTCTGCATTCAGTCCTGAGTCCTGAGAAGATAATATTACATTTATTGGGATTTCTGATTGGTTTGAATACCAGTTTTCTAAATTCTTGACTGCTTGGCAAGCTTGAACCACTCAGTATGGAAAGAGCCCTCCATGTCAGTCCTTTCATATGTATGAGCACCAAAGTAGTCCCTTTGAGCTTGAACCAAATTAGCAGGCAACCTTTCTCTTCGGTATGTGTCAAAATAAGCAAGACTAGCAGACATACCTGGGGTGCTGATGCCATAGTTGATAGCAAGGCACACAACTCGTCTCCATGCAGATTGGCGATCCATTATTTCCTTGGCAAACTCTGGATCCACAAGAAGGTTTGCTAGATTAGGATTTCTATCATAGGCCTTCTTGATTCTGTCCAAGAATATGGCCCTTATGATGCAACCTCCCTTCCAAATCCTGGCAAGTTCCCCCAACTTCAAATCCCAATCCTTTTCAACACTCTTCGCGCGGATCAGATTCATGCCCTGTGCATAGCTGCAGATTTTGGCAGCATAAAGAGCCTTCCTAACATCATCAATCAACTTCTCCTTGTCAACAGGTTGATCAGCCATGATATCACCAAAGCCACCTGATTTAAACACCTTTGCAGCTTCAACTCTTTCCTCTTTCAACCCACTAAGGAACCTTGCATCCAAAGAAGCCTCAATAGTGGGAGCAGCAACTGATAATTCAGCAGCTTGTTGCACAGTCCATTTACCAGTACCCTTCATGCCAGTTTTGTCCAAAACCTTGTCAACCAAATGTCCATCTCCTTTATCATCCATAATTCCAAATATATCGGCTGTGATTTCAATAAGGAAACTCAAAAGTTCTCCTTTGTTCCATTCTGAAAACACACTTTGTAGTTCCTCATTGGACAACTTCCCTACTGACTTTAGTACATCATAGGCCTCAGCAATAAGTTGCATGTCACCATATTCAATTCCATTATGGATCATCTTCACAAAATTACCCGATCCACCTTTACCAACATAAGTCACACAAGGACCACTATCTGGGACTTGAGCTGCCACCTTGAGCAAAATGTCTTCTATGTATTTAAAAGCCTCAAATGAACCACCAGGCATCAAAGAGGGACCATGTCTTGCTCCCTCCTCACCACCTGAAACTCCCATCCCAAGGTAGAGTAGACCCAATTCAGCCACAACTTTCTCTCTTCTCTCAGTGTTCTCGTACCACTCATTGCCACCATCAATTATGCAATCACCCTTTTCCAAGTATGTAGATAGGGTCTTGATGGTTTGGTCAACCGGTGCACCAGCCTTAACAAGCATTATTACCACCCTTGGTTTTTGAATGGATTAAACAAAAGATTCAGGGTCATGGTAGCCATACACGGGAAGGTTTCCTTCTTGTTTTGCTCTTTCCACTGTCTCATCAACCTTGGATGTGGTTCGGTTATAAACCGAAATCGGAAAGCCCTTCTCAGCAATGTTGAGAGCAAGATTTTGGCCCATTACAGCCAGTCCAGCAAGGCCTATTCTTGTGAGATTTGTAGGTTGAGCCATAATGAAGCTCCTGTTTCAGTGTCTGAAAATTCACATGAGGAAGAAGTATAAAGGTGAAAAATAAGCATGGACTTTTAATTTCTAAAGAAAAATCAAAGGTGTAAACTACGATCAATGAGAACCATTAGAACTTGATTGGAGGCATCTAAAGGCCTTGAATAAAACCCTCTAGAAGTACACTAGAAAGTTCAATAAACTAGAACACATTCCAAGATTCAAAGATTAAAAAAAGGGCATTACGATTGATAACTAGACTTTTCCCTCAGAAAGTGGGATTTCATGAGACAGGTATTAACCTCAACTACCAAACCGATACATAGTTGATTTGCACAGATCAAGTAAGGGCCATGGCTTCAAGGGCTGCAAATTGTCAAAATACAACAATACAATATGTGAATTGCAATCAAACTCAATTATTTTCTCACCTACAATTCCATTAATTGGTTTCGTTTATTATTTTAATATCAAATGTTACTGTATAGCAAAATCTAACAATTCATAACAAGCAGAATTACATCTACAGCACGCAAACCAGTATTGCCAACACGATTAGCCCAAAAACATTCACCAACGTTGATTTCCCAGAAGACCACAACAGAAACAAGAAGAGAACATGTAAGCAGAGTTTCTATAAACAAACAAAATAAGTTCATGAATCATATATACCACCAATCCAACACTGACTTTGGTGCATCAAGAAAAGGCAATAAGAAAAAGCAGCAGCAGCAAAGGCAAACCTGGTTTTTTGAATGGAATGGCAGAAAATTGAGATCTGGGTATGCCAGAGACTATATAGTAAGCATAAAATGAGCAAGTATAAAATTATTATATACAAGTACAGTGTAGAGTGTAGAGTAACGGTGTTACACATCAACTACAACTCAACAACCAACCCTTTTGGCACAAAGTAGAGAAACACTTTCTTAGGATGTAAGTGGGTCAAATTTGTCCAACTAACAAGTTGGGTAGGTGAAGATGCTCTAAGGAATTCAGGCCATTGATTCCACTGTCACGGCTAGCACTGTCTCACGTGAAACTAACAGGTCTTTGTTTCTCAGGCTATGTTTGAGAGAGCATTGTTTAAGGAAAGATATATATATTTTATTTTAGATTAAAAGAATTATATATTTTAATAAATATATGATTAATATATTAAATTTACATTAACATGTTAATTTATATATTTTATTTTAAAAAATATTAATTTTAAATATATTTATTTAAATTTAAAAAATTGTTGATGGTTGAATCCTTAACCCTTCCCTTGAGTTAAACATAGGACCTCCCTCAATTTTTCATTAATTTAATATTTATGAGTATTCTTATGCTAAAAAGTAAAGTAAAAGTGAAATAGTAATACAAAGTAACTTTATCTACGTAAAATTGGCTTAAGGTTAAAAAATTTTTTAAAAAAAATTATGAAGATGGTCAATTATTTAAAATACAACTCTTGAAAACTGAAATTAGATAAATAATTTAAATACAATGATAATAATAAGAAATATATAAATTTTAAATAAATATAATAAATGGAAAAGTTCATTTTATTTTCTTAAATGTTTGCTC